CTGGGATTACAGGTATCTGCCACGATGCCCAACTAATTTTTGTATTTTTAGTAGAGATGGGGTTTCACCATGTTGGCCAGGCTAGTCTCAAACTCCTAACCTCAGGTGATCCACCTGCCTTGGCCTCCCAAAGTAATGGGATTATAGGCGTGAGCCACCGTGCCCGGCCTGTAAATTATATCTTAATAGAGATGTTTTTAAAAGAGTCAGTCATAAAAGAATAAATGCTTTCAGGTTCTGTTTATATGAAATTCAAAAATATGCAAGATAAACTATATTGTTTAAGAACACAAAGTTAGCTGATAACACCACAGGGAGAGCAAGGAAGTGAACACTTATAAAGTGAAGAGAGCTCTGGGGCAGGGAGGAGACTGTCTTGGGAGGGGGCAGGATCCCTTTCTTGAAATGGCTAGTGATTCTACAGGACTGACTCAGGGACTTGTTAAGCTGTTTATGTTTTATTCTGTCCTCTACATATATTTCATAATACAAATGTGATGATAGTAACAATAAAACTATAAACTACTAAAAGACAAAAGTGTGACTAGTTACGAGAGCTTCAGTAGGAAGTAAAGGAAGTTGCAAGTTAAACAAATATTTGTTCTGCTCATCTGTACCTGTATTTGTAAGTTTTACTCCTGGCTCTTGTGGAGGCTTTATGCCACTCTTTTGGAATCACACGATGTGAAGTGAAAGTGAAGTAGGGCGAGCTGGCATGCAGCCTGGCCTTCTCTATTTCTTCAAATTCTTTGATGGAATGTCGTTTTCCTACAGGAAGATAAAAAATCAAAATCAACACTCTTCAAGAACTCCAATTGCTCTTGGAGTGAGAAGTCACTGGACAATTAGCAGTCTCAAAAAAATGAGGCCCAGTGATCACAAAGCACCTGTCTCACATTGAAGACCAGTTCTCTTCTCTTCATCCACCTCTTGCTGTCTTTGAAGCAGAGGATCAACAAATGGTGGGACTGTAACCTACAAGAAAAATGAGACTCTTTCAGGACCAGAGTGCAGCCTGTATTAAGCTTTTAAAATGTGTTCCACATAAAGATGGGAACAATAGACCCTGAGGACTACAAGAGTGGGAAGGGCAGGAGGGGGCAAGGGTTGAAAAACGACCTATTCGGGACTCTGCTTACTATCAGGGTGACAGATTCAATCGCACCCCAACCTCAGCAGCATGCAATATACCCATGTAACAAACCTATATGTATACCCCTGAATCCAAACGTTGAAATTTAAATAAATAAAGTCTGACCTAAGCATGCAAGTATGCCCTTACTGTACACCAAAGCAGCTGAGAAGAAAGGCCCAGGAATGTGCCAATCTACACATCAGTGGAAGGGCATCACCTCAGATGAGGATGTCGCACAGAGCCTTAAATGGCCGAACTGAGGGAGGGAGGGAGGGCCGCCCAGAGAGAAGAGACGCACTTCTGTTAAGTGCTCTACTGTGTCATTGCATCAGCCAGTAATATCTGTGTTGCCATTGTGTGCCACATCCAGGCTAGATCCTGTCTTCAAGGATCTCCTAGTCTAGAACAGCCTAGTCATCCACAGTGACAATCTAGTCCTGAGAGGGGCCAGCTCAGGATCCTGTAGGAGCAGGGGCAGTGCTCCTAACCCAGACTGGGAGGATGCATGTCTCCTGGGGAAGCTGACGACTGGTCTGTAAAGGCCTGTGAGAACAGAGGGTCAGGTGACCAGAGCTATGAGTTTATGTCAAAGGGTAGGGACATACAGAAGTATTTTTTCTCCCCGCTCCTGATAAGCCTTAGACAGAGGGACTATTTTTCCCCTCCATTTCCCCCACAGCACTCATCGCAGTGCTGGACTGAAGTGCTAGGTAAACAATCACTGAATAAACCAGGCAGCATAACATGTACTGCCTCCAGCACCCCAGATGATGACATTCTACCCAGAACCAAAAGAATCTGTTCATCTTCATATGACCGACCTGGCTTGGTTCTCTGGGAGAAGCAAAAGAAATTGCTTCCACCTTCAGAGCCATACATATCTTTTAAAAAAGTAATAGTCATATCAGGTAGCTACTTCTGCTGCATGGGAGCGAAAAACTGAAACCTACATTTCTCAATTTTAACCCTGTATTGGCGGTTTAAAAATCTGAAGACTCATTACAACCTCAAGTATGAGCTCTCACGGACAGCCTGTGCTGAAATTCCTCCTGTATCTCCGCTGGAAAGGAGTATTCCCTCCCAAGTCCCACAATCCCTGTGCTGACTTCCGTGACACTCGCCGCACTCCACTGCACAAGCTGCCACACCTCTCTCTCTCTTTCTTGTGCTTCAGGTTTGCTGAATGTGAGTAAATGAATGAACAAGTGATCACACGTATCCGTGCCTTGTGCACAGTGTAAATTCCACAGGAGTCTAAATTACTTTGAGTTCCTACTCTAAAACTCAAAGGAAATGCTTTTGTAGACTTTTTTTAATAGAGAATAACTACAAGACTTCTAAAATGACTAGGTTTTCCCCAACTCCAGAGCTCCTAAGAATAAAAAACCAAAGAAACCTGCTCTACCCTTTTATAATTTGGTTTTTCTTCATATAAAAGGATCGTAGGCCGGGCACAGGGGCTCACACCTATGATCCCAGCACTTTGGGAAGCCAAAGCAGGTGGATCACTTGAGGTCAGGAGCTCAAGACCAGCCTGACCAACATGACGAAACCCCTTCTCTACTAAAAATACAAACAATTAGCCAGGCGTGATGGCACATGCCTGTAATCCCAGCTACTTGGCAGGCTAAGGCAGGAGAACTGCCTGAACCCCAGAGGCAGAAGTTGCAGTGAGCCAAGATTGCACCACTGTGCTCCAGCTTGGGCAACAAGAGCGAAACTCCGTCTCAAAGAAAAATTTAAAAAATTTAAAAAGGGATTGTATACTTCAGGATTATAATGGTCTTCACATATAATTTCCTTCAGATACAAAATATACTTAAGGGAAAAATCACTAGATACAAACTGTTTTGCAAGATTCATATTATAAAAGTCAAATACTGTTTCATTTTTATATAAAAGCGTAGCTTCAAAGGGTTGGAAGAAACTGCTGAAGTAATTTAGACTGCAATGAGACTCCACCACCTTCTGGGAGAAGCAATCATCTAGCTTTGGTCTGAAGTCATCCATAGGCCTTTGAGAACTTTCTGCTCCATGAGGCAGGTACTTTTTTTGGTAATTTTAACCTCAAGAAAGTCTGCCCTTAGGTTGAGTTTAAATCTGCCTTGTAACTTGCAGGTTCAGACACTAGTTCTATACATTTAATTCATCGGCTAATGTCTGCCTTTAAAATACTTAAAAGGTTCATTCCCCCTTGTGTCGTCTTTTCCTTGGGCCAAATACCCCACCTCTTTCCAGTTTTCTTCCTATAAAGTGGTGTCAAGACCCAACTCTTTAGGTTTTGCAACTGATGAGTGTCCCTTCAACAGTGCGACATCAGGAATGACAGGATGAGGACAGGATGGACCAAGACTCTGATGCTATCCACTCTAAGCACAGCCTCTCTTGCCTGAGAGCTGTATGTTTTCTGGGAATCCAGCTCATATGGTTGATTCACAATGACTTTACTGACATTTAAAATCACTTGGACTTCGACACATGCCATTTCTAAGATCTTCCTCCCTATACCCATGAAATCACATTTCTGGACACAAATATAAGACTCTGCACTTTGGAGATCTGGATTCAATCTTGAGCTCTGTCCCTTAAGAGTGTGTAGGAAAAAGTATTTAAGGTAAATATTCAGAAACTGTGCTCAGTAAATATACTTAAATGCTCTAATATTTCAGCTAACCTACTCTAGGGTCTCACTCTGTCACCCAGGCTGGAGTGCAGTGCCACGATCATGGTTCACTGCAACCTCTGCCTCCCAGGCTCAAGTGATCCTTCCACCTCAACCTCCGAAGTAGCTGGGACTACAAGTGCACAGAACCACACCTGGCTTTTTTTTTTTTTTTGTACAAACGGGTTTTTGCCATGTTGCTCAGGCTGGACTCAAAACTCCTGGACTCAAGCAATCCATCCACCTCAGCCTCTCAAAGTGCTGGGATTACAGGGGTGACCCACTGCACCCAGCCACTACTCTAGGTATCTACTAGATATGTGGAGGTAAGAAAAAAAGATCCAGTAGTGCACACCTGAAGTTAACAGATTTGCATTTGGTACTGCAAATAGACAGACCTAAATTCTGAAAGAGAGTCCTGACCTCAAAATCAAAAAAATCTTCAAATTAAGAAACCAAATTTTGTTGTTTTGTAAAGCCAAACTGTAGAACAGAGTACAGAAACTGTTAGTCCTAACACCTACTGGTTGGCTAACTCAGCCATGCAATAGCATTCTCCTTTGCCCACTTCCTACTAGAGAGATGAGAAAGCCACAGTGGCTTTCCAGGCCCTGCTTATGGCTAGGACTTGCCTCATGACCCAGTCCTGGCCAAAGAGACCTAAGGGAAAGCTGACTAGGGGCCTCTGGGGACTCTTTTTGCTTCCTGCAAAGGAGTAGTGTAAGAGAAGAGGCCCCTGGCACCATTCCTTATCCCTTCTTCTTCCTGCCCTGAATGAAGACCTAACGTCTGGAGCTATAAGCAACCATCCGGCAAATGTGAGAATGATGGGGATAAACTGAAAATACTAAGGATAGCAGAATAGAATAGGAAAAAATCTGACATTGTTATGCTGTCAGAACCCACCACGAAACCACCTACCTCTCAATTTCTTGTGAAGTAAATGATAAATGCCCTTATGATTTAAGCCACAGTAACTCCATTAACATCTACATAAAATCATTCCTGACAAATCTAGTTCCAAGTCAACACTCCTATCCCCTCCAACCTCAGGCTTAAGAATGCAGTACGTGTTTTACAATTCAATGAACTCATCTTAATTACAAAAATAAGCTGGAGGCTATTTGTATAACCAGTGAAATTGTTAGACTAACTCTTCAAATTATACTTTATTTGAAAAATAAAACATCAGTACCATTTTATGTCTGTGCTGTAAATAATATTCAACATTCTCTTGTTTCATTTTTTTAAGCCCTTTATATGAAATTACTTTTTCCATAATTCTCTGCTGAAGAGGCTCTGCAACGTTTTCAACCCATTTTTTATGTAACATCTCTTTTCTTCTTTCCTTAAAAGTATCCAGATGCTGAAAATACGTATCCAATCTCTAGTGAAGTGATACAAACAAGGAAAATAAATTATAAAGAAATGTTTCACTTATTGTCATTTGAGTAAGGGGGAAAAAATCATCTGTTCCCACTACTAAACTCTCAGCCACATTTGGGTTGCAAAGTCCCAGTATAAGATAACTGAAGCACAGAATAAAGTACAGTAAGAGAAGCTGGGAACACAGAACAGAAGAACTCATATAAACTTCTAAACCACAACTGTGCCTTCAGATTAAACCATATCTAACTCATGAATCAGATTAAGCTATTCCTAACACATGAAACTCTCGTTTCTTTTTCAGGATTTCCAAGCATTCCCTGGTCACCCATCCTGTGTCTAGCCTTCACCATCAGGAAAGTCTGTGACAAAATTGGTAGAGTAGAAAGCACACCAGACTGTGATACCTCTCTCTGGCCTGTGAAAGAGAGGTAATCCCATCTATCTCTTCGGATGCTTAAATGGGAATTTATGTGCACTTTCTTTATAAATTGTAAATCGCAATTCAAATGTCAAAGCTTTATTCTTTTTTTGTCTGTTTAAAAGACGAGGTCTCACTCTGTCGCCCAGGCTAGAGTATAGTGGCATGGTCACAGCTCACTACAGCCCCAACCTCCTGGGCTCAAGCGATCCTCCTGCCTCAGCCTCCTGAGTAGCTGGGACTACAGGTGCGTGCCACCATGCCTGGCTAATTTTTAAATTTTTTGTAGTGACGGGGCCTCACTATGTTGCCCAGGCTGGTCTCAAACTCTCAAACTCCTGGTTTCAAGCAATGTTCTTGCTTCAGCCTCCCAAAGTATTATAACTCCATCTCTCTCATTGAAATTAAATGTCCCTTAAGCTAATTTCGTAGTGACTATCAGTTACTGATTGGTCATAACCCTTAAAAGTTTATTTTGTTTCTAGTGATTTTCTATATCCCCACTGCAAGTGGGAACACATGAGAAAGAGGCAAGTGTGAATAGGAAAGAGTTTCTATTCAGTACCAGGATGAAGAGAAGGAGCAATTAGGACAATTTCTCAGATCCCTTCAGGACAGATTCAAGTGGGATTAGGGACCTCTTAGTGATCCTGCAAGAAGGGGGGATGACCTCAGATCCATGTAGTACAAACAAGTAAATTACAGGATCCTCATTCCCCCTGCAAAATGAGTCTCTTGGATCATGGTGACATGACTCTTGGCCATGTTGTTCTGCACACTCTTGCTCCCCTAGAACACACTTAGAATGCAGTATGGAGTCAACTCTTACCTTCACAACAGAATTTTCTCTAAATAATATTGCACGTACTGCTTCATCAATGTCTTCTCTAGCTAATACCTAAAATTACAGAATTGGATATTAGGCTGTAAATCCTGCAGCAACAAAAGACAATGACGAAACTCAGTGTACTTTACCCAATAGTTTCAGCGTAAATCTTGAGGCTTATTATGTAACATAAATATATGGAAAATTTCTAAACCCATTCTCCATGAACCCATCAACCAGGTTCAAGAGTGATTAATTCTGAGTCAATCTTATGTCATCTAATAAATCTTATTATTCAGCACCCCCCCACCCAGACTATTTTAAAACAAATCCCTGATAGTATATTATTAAATTATGTTTTAAAGCACTAAAAAGCTTACTAAAGGAATCCTCTTTTCAGGCATTCAGTAGGTGTTTTTTGTTTGCTTTTTGAGACAAAGTCTGGCTCTGTCACCCAGGCTGGAGGGCAGTGGTACAATCTTGGCTCACTACAACTTCAGCCCTCTGGGTTCAAGTGATTCTCCTGCCTCAGCCTCCCAAGTAGCTGGGATTACAGGCACGTGACACCACACTTGGCTAATTTTTGTATTTTTTAGTAGAGACGGAGTTTCACCATGTTGGCCAGGTTGCTCTCGAACTCCTGACCTCAAGTGATCCACCCACTTTGGCCTCCCAAAGTACTGAGATTATAGGTGTGAGCCACCCCATTCAGCCAGTAGGTGTGTTTTAAAGGGCCCTTGAAGTTTTCTGCCTTTTGCTAGATCTCTTCATAAGTCAAAAACCACAGAAAATTCCCTTTAGTTCAACTAGTCCAGAGTCTCAGAGCTAATTAGTGGGAGCTCGTGGCCTCCAACCAATATCATCCACATCTAGGGACTTGCTGTTTCCATTATGAGTTTGGGTAAAGCCGATGCATTTTAATCCCCACTTTAGGGCTTTTTCAGTTGGATCACTATAAACTAATCTCTAGCTTTTATCCTTATAGGACTAAGTGCGAACAAATGAAAAGGCAATAAAAATCCAGTATCTGGAAGAGATAAACTATTACATTAAAAATTATTGATGAAAAATGATAAAGGTTCTTAGAACTGTTATTCAATTTGACTCTTCTTTCTGTTCTGCCACACTGAATGCATCACAACAAACTAAACCCCAAACTCAAACACCAAATCTGTGAATAAGAGAAATCTCAAAAAGGAAAGTTGTTTTTACCCATATATTTAATAGCTTCACATGAGATCTAAAATGACATTCAAACAGCTACCCAGGTCTTCTCTAAAATAAAGCTCTTTGTAATATGAAGAGGATCTTGCTTTAAAGCCTTCTCAGACTTATTTTAAGATGACAGGCCAGGCAGGGTGGCTCACGTCTGTAATCCTAGTGCTTCGAAGGCCCAGGCAGGAGGATTACTTGAGTTCAGAAGTTTGAGGTTACAGTGAGCTATGATTGGGCCACTGCACCCCAGCCTGGGCTACAGAGCAAGAACCTGTCTCTAAAATATTTTTTTAATTAAAAAGAAGATGGTAACTGAAAAAGTATGTAAAACAATTAAACATGTATCCTGACACTACAATATAAATTTAGAATCAATCTATTCATTTATTTGGAGAAGCAGAAACACGTTGACAAGCATCTTGGGAAGTCACCTTCTTAAAGAACATCCTAGTAAGACTGTTAGCAAATGTTATGTACACTCTTGAGTCAGATTGTCAAATAATCTTTTTCTGTTTAAAGAAATTAAACAGTTTCTGTCTTTGATGGCTCTTCTTTGTGATTTTGTC